TTATCTGTCTCGCATTCCTTTCTAGGACGTTTTTTATTTGGCCTCCTTTCCATTTAAGGAATGTTTTTGTTAAAATACCTTCACTTTTATTACTTTTACCCACTTACTTTTTACAAACTACTTTCTCTTTCCTACTTTATCATCACTTTACTCTACATAATACACTCTCTTTCAAACTTTATCATCACTTTACTCTTTTTAATATACATTCTTTCCTACTTTATCATTTACCCTACACAGTTTATACTTACCCTACTACTTTATTATTAAAACCCGTGTCCAAGGCTAGTATGACGGGTTTTTTTACCCCAAGGGGCATCAGGGGGAGAGGAGTTTTGGGAGGCCTGGGGTAAAATGGGATCAATCTCACTCCGTTGAGAATTGAACTCGAGACCTTCCATAGGGAGAGTGAGTGACGGATAATAAAGAACAAAGGGAGTATAACAGTTCCAAAACAAAGTGAGAAGTGAGAACTACGCTTTAAAGGACTGTTTTCTATCGCTTCTAAAAGTAATTTATGCTTTTTCATTAAAACCGGTGTAGTATTCACAAATAAATTATTTTGATTAAATTAAACATGTTAAAAGCTACGGAGTAATAGTCATAAGGTGACTATCCTTTAAGTTGATTTTTCACATTTTTCTATTATTAAAAAAATTCCTTTTCACGAAACAATCTAAGGGTATGTGTGACATAACTCACAAAAGTACCTAAAAAATACTTTTGTAAGTTTCTTTAGTAACTATCAACTTTTGAAAAATATCATAAAAGTGAAAGGGATAAGTTTTTGATATAGAACTAATTGTTTGATTTAATTTCGTTTGATATACAAGCCGTCGTAACTAATAATTGTTAAATGCTATAGACTTTTCTCTGATGTTACTCAGTGTAGTTTCTCAAAAAAGATCTTTTATTATGGTAAAAACTCTTAAAATTATCATGCCAAACATATAATTAGAAGTTTTAAGATAATTTTTGAATACTCCGTAGTACAAAAGACAGAAGATAAAATTTATCTATACCAGACATGCATTAACTTTTACATTCTAATAAATGTCGTGTTTTCAAACTATATATCAACTTTAAATAGAGTATAAAACAAGCTTGATGTAATCTCTAAAAATCCACTATTTAAAATGCTTAGAAAACACTAACAGTCCTTAGTCCTTACACCTTAACATGCATACGACTTTGTGTATTTTGGCTTATCAACTAGACAACTAGAGCTCTTACCAAACATATTTCACTTTTTGTACTGAAAATACGAAATTAAAGAAAATGGCATTGCAAGTTGCAACCTTCATTTTAGATATTCCCTCTATATTTAAAAATTTTCTACACTTTTCAATTTGGGATATATTTAAAAGTTTGTGACACTTTCTCTTTTTGGTAAGCATTTTCTTTAAAAAAATTAATTACCCTTATTTTTTCTACTTTTTATCTTTTCTGTCATACTTTTTCACATTCGCCCTTACTTTTTTTTTTTACACTATTTATTACCTCTATTATTCTCTTCTTAAATCTTAGGCCAATATTTAATGTAGGGATCATTTAAATACGGAGAGGGAATACTATAGTGTTTTGTACTTGTGTAAGCTATTCATTAAGGGCCTGTTTGGTAATGGCTGCAATGGCTGAAAAGGTTGAAAAGACTGAAATTTTAAAGTGAAAGTGTTTAGTAATATATTAGCTGTTTTGACTGGTTGAGTGTGTAATTACTATAAAGGGTATCATTTTTTGTTCTGAAATACTAAAGCTTACTAAGAACACATATCAAATGTTTATGTCACTTCATCAACATAGATGCAACGAAGAGCGAAAAGAAAAATCATAAAGGAAAAATTACCCTGCTGCAGTCCACAAAGAAAATAAAGAACACTTGAGTAGGGAATAAAGTACACAAAAAAATCTTTTCATAGCCAGAAAGCCACAACCAAATTAGTGGGGTAATTAAGGGCTTGACAATCGTTACCAGTTTTATTTTCAAAATTAAAGTAACAAAACAGATCCTAATATAAGAAAGGCTTAGCTAATCAAACGAAGAATCACCTCTTGGCGAAAGAGACCTGCTCTGCATGCTTACCGGATTAGTTGCAGGGCTGGAAGAAGAAAAAGAAAAAATGATAAAGAGATGAAGAGTGCTTACCATCTAGATCGAATATGGAGCCGAGGAAGAAATTCTGGATGCAGTGGACAAGGACATAGCTGTCTCTTAACATCTTACGAGTACAAAAATAAAAACCAACTCAAAAAATAACTCTTGAGCTACTTTTTTGGCTGATAATAGAAATCAGCCACAACAGCCAAATGAAGGGATGTTTGGCTTTTTTTTTTTAAAACATATTTTCAGCCTGATCAGCCTATCTTTACTCTTCCAAACACCCTCTAAGGCGCATTTCATTCTGCTTCTACGACACCTCGTAGGCTCGTAAACAATACAACTCAAATTCAACTCAAATTCTCTAATTCATGTCTACTACCAAAAAGCAGGCAAACAGCCCATGGTGTATATCGGTATCTTATTTCACAATTTATATTTCTTTGAACTTTAAAACAAAGATTGGGCATTCCCGTTACAACACCTGTCGTATTTGCTGGTTAGTTGAGCCTTTGATTTCTACACTTCACCCAAAAATTAGGGAACCTTATACATAATTTAAGCAATCAAGGATAAGTGGATAACTATATTGAACATTCTTTTATATATGAGGGGACTTTGATTCTTTTGTGAAAGTATCAACTATTAATGACATGGAGTAAAATGCTAGAATCTCTCCAATTGCATATATGTATTCGATTATTTTCATGAACAGAAAATAATTTAATTAAACAGGTCTATTTTTCATTTTAGTATTAAAAAAATAAATGTATATGAAACTTAGTTAAAGAAACATGTCATACACAAATGATAAGTGGCATAATCAGGAAAGTTAAGCGGGCTGAACGCCTGAATCTTCACCAGTACATCACGGTTATGCAGGGTGCTTAAACTTTACAAAACCGACCTGAAAATAGTGTTAAACGGGTACAACCGTGACACCAGATAAGTAAATCAATGGCTGGATGTCTTTCCTAGACCAACTTCTGCTAAATATGGTCGTATGGTAATTAAGTTACCGTAGTCAGCACTCAGAAGATAGAAAACCCGAGCGTCGAGAATTAAACACAATTACTTCTATTACTAGAAGATTTTTTAAAATTTTAATCTCACTTCATCCAATAAAGTGATTAACCTTGATGATATTGGGGGGATTGAGGATTACAAATCGCAGTCATAGTTTTTTAAGACAATATAAACTTGTACAGTATACAAGAAGCATTCACGAACAATACCATAAGGTGGAAACCCATTCCACAAAATGCGATATGTTAGACATAGGAAGCGTGATTCCGAGATCACTTGGCATACACAAAATCGAAATCAGCCTAAGTGGTATGAAGACTTCCCATATCTCCCAACATGAAATTAAAGGGTGACCGGAGTCTGGAAGAACAGGAATATCCTTTCTTCCAGGCCCACTATTTCATACTCCGTATATCTGATACAAGGAGAACAAACCAAAGGGAGAGTGATCACTGATCAGTAAAGCAGGCACTCATCCACTCAGGACAGCATTCTTCCGGAAATCGAAACAATGGCAAAAACGTTCTTAAAGGTTCAGTTAAGTTCCTCACATAAACGTATGCCAGTAGACTATTTCCTTTCACAAGAATCTGTCTTCAAAATTTCTAATGCAAAACTTTGTAGTGATTGAAAAGTATCAACTGCTCCTCTTGTATCAATCGGCATCATCTTTGGCTGTTAACCCTATTTCCTGCATTTGATGTTGAGAGGAAACTGAATGAGTCTCGGCAAGAAACCCGTACAAGCATAGAAGCATAGAATATGAAGTCTAAATCTTTCACAAAACCAACCACTCCAATTCAAGTACCAAGCTTGGGCTATAAATTAAATAAATCTTGTAATTGATGTTATTATTAGATTTAGTAAAATAATAACAAGTTCCATAACACACTCCCAAAATCCTTTAGTCTATCTAGAGTAACTTGGCTGCTGGTCTGAAAGCTGTGGCTAGGTATTGCTACCAGAGCTAGAAAGTTGTAATTTTCTCAATTGTGCTAAGAAAAGTACGTGTAGCAGAGAGTCACAAGTTGCAAAGTCACAAGTTGCAAACTCTAAAGACTGACCAAGGGAAATAGGGCTTGAAGAGAATCATAAGTTGCAAATTCTAACACTAAATAACACTACAGTTAACAAACAATTAAGTTAGCAGAACACAAAATTGCACATATGGAAGACAAAAATGTGATTTCAAAATTGCTAGCAATTGTCAACCACATGCAGTCCACAGATAAGAGCTAAATAATTTTTATATCAATGATAGACAAGATACAAGCCATGTTTATATTTTGGCATTTTAATGGAAACACTATCCCAAACCTCTCCCTTTGAAGCGCTTCCAAAACAAGTAGGTTCGACATTTTGGTTGAAAACTCAAACCTTGAATATTATTGTCAATATTGCATTATGGGCTTTAATAATATCTACCTTTCGTTTTCTGTAATCAATGGGTTGCACTCATAACATATCATTTTTGTAATTACCTTAAATTGATATGTTTTTTCGGAAATAATTTAAAGAATTACAAATATGAGCCACTGAAATATTAGCTGATAAGAAATATAAAACGGTGGATATGATAGATTCTCATTTGTAAAGATCTTGGCGTCCCCTAAAAATTCTTTCCGTTTCCTTTCAAAGAATGGTTTGTGTGGTTAACATTCATATATATTTATAGTAACACATGGTAAGACTCAATGTAGTGTAAAAGATTTTCAGAGCAGTCTTAGAGATGGCCTCATATCTTCACATGGGGGAAGCTTAGAGATGATATAATTGAGCTAAGAGAAGTGAATTATTCAATCGATAACAAACAAAATGTAAGGTTATTCCAGCTCAAAAGTTACGTGGAAACAACTGAGGGAGTGTACTATATGTACTATGTATACCATAACTTCTGAAATTATTTTGCGTAACAAGGACAGAGCTCGATCATGATGTTTCCCCTGACTACTTGACTAAGGACCAGTTATATGTTAATTACTGCTCCGGATTCATTGAAATATTGTTTGAAGTTTGGAGTATTACCCACAATCTGAATCAAACATGGATGGGAGAAACTCCACAGAAGAGCTTCCCCGGGATGAGAAGGCTGAAGAAATCACAAGCAACAGTGTGCAAGTGAATGTAGAAGAACTCATCCAATCGATGGAAACTCAGCTATTGGTTTTGCCGAAAATAACAACCAAATCGTCCAGTTGCAGCATTTTCCTGGTATCCCAGGTCTTCACCCATTCCGATGAGCCGTATCAACCTCGCACAGTCTCAATCGGTCCATACCACCGCGGGAAGCCGCATCTGAAGGCGATGGAGGAGCATAAGTGGAGGTTCTTGAAGAGAGCGATAGCAAGGACGGGCGTGGGTATGGCTCCCCTCATAAAAGAGGTCAATCTCGTAGAAAAACAGGCCAGAGAATCGTATTCTGAGGCTATCCCTACTCCCAAAGACAAACCTAATGAGTTTTTAGAGATGTTGGTTCTTGATGGGGTCTTTGTGATTGAAATACTTCGGGCATTCAGCAATGTGGTTCCCTTTGACAAAGACGACCTCTTTGGATCAATGCAATGGATGCGTTTCCGTCTCCGCGACGACTTTCTCTGCCTCGAGAACCAAATACCATATATCGTGCTCCAGAAATTGTTCAAACTTACTGAAATGGTCAGTGTCGATAGGTTGCTCAGCGGGAGCCGCCCTACTCTGTCCGTCACGGCCCTCCACTTATTCAAATTATCCGATGAATTGGAAAGAGACCCAGAATTGGTCGGCGATGCTTTGAATGGGGACTTTGAAGGGCTTCATCTTCTGGATTTAGTCCGGAAAAGTTATTTCCCGAAGCTGGACCCAAAGGTTTCAGCTTCGGGAAACAGACCAATTAAGGGCAGTTCCCAGGGGACTCCCAAAGCAAGGAACATCCGGAGCATCTCGAAGCTGCGGCGAGCTGGAATCGAGGTGAAGCTGAGGAGGGACCATGATTGTAAGAGGAGCTTTCTGCAGGTGGAATTCAAGCGAGGAGTGATCCGGATGCCGCTGCTGGAGCTGGACGACACGATGTGCGCGTTCTTGCTGAACTGCGTGGCGTTCGAGCAGTGCCACGAGGGGAAAGACAGGCGGATGTCGGAGTACGCGAGTTTCCTGGACTGCCTCATAGACACGCACGAGGACGTGGATCTCTTGTGCGAGGCCAAGATCTTGCGCCACCACCTGGGGACGCAGCGTGAGGTGGCGGAGTTTGTGAGCCGGCTGGGGAAGGCGGCGGCGGGCAATGCCGACGAAAGCTACTTGAGAGACGTGTACGATGGAGTGAACAAGTACTGCGACAAAAAATTCCACGTTTACTTGGCCGAGGTCAGGGACACCCACTTCCGATCTCCCTGGACCGCCCTGTCTCTGTTAGCTGCCCTTATTCTCCTTGCTCTCACCGTGGGTCAGACCATCTACACCATCTATCCTTATTATCACTCACACGAAGAAAAACATACTCCAGCACCACCACCAAAACCATATCCTTAGTCAAAATTAAACGTTAGAATTTTCAGGGCTGTTTGAATATGATTTTAAAATTGCTTCTACTCCCTGTCTTAACGGAGCAGAAATAAAAGTTGGAGTGTTTTGAAAAAAGTGCAAAAGTGATTTTCTTGCTCTAATGTACTCCTAGAATCCATTCTCACGGTGGCTCAAACCATCTACACCATATATCCTTATTATCACCCACACGAAGAGAAACATACTACCGCAGCAGCACTAAAACCGTACCTTTGGCTCGTAACCTAAATGGGAACCTTCTCATAAAAGTGTGAGAAGTCCACCTAAATAATTGAGAAGTCCAATTAAGAGGAGAATAGTGTACGAGAACCTTTAAATGGGACGGAGGGAGTAGTATATATATTTGATCAGTTTATAGTGAAAGGGAAAATATGATTATTCAGTTGGGTCACAAGTAATTCTTAGAAGGCTAAGACACCAAAATCAATTATTTTAGCCCAAATAAATCTATTTTATACCAAATCCCTAGAGAAGCTATGCCATTCTCATTCACGATCGCCGTACTCAATGATTTGTCCCAAACGAGGTTCTCATCTCCTTTGATTCAACTCTTCGACTAAAGCTATAGTCCGAGTTTTGTGACAATCTAAATATTGGTATTTCAATTTGCCTTGCTTCCATGCTTCCTTTTTGTTCGTCATAATTGATTCGTCAATTCAGTTTCTATCGAAGATTTCTTCTTCTTTCTCTGTATTGAAATATCTTCCATGTTTAAGGATTTCTAAACTATCCTCCATACTCATCGCAGCAGTAACTTGTTTTTACAAAAAGGGAGCTGATTGCTATTTAAATACGGATTATCTTTTTAGGAGTGTTTTCATCCTTTGTGTTATCACCGGTGGACATAACATAATTTTTATTTGTCTTCCTACACTATATATAACTTTTAATAAACGTGGGATTTAATCACTGATCAAATTGGGTGCTGCTACTACTTGTTTTAATTACTTTCGTTACTTAGACTGTACGCATTAGCTAGTTAGTACTCAACCGTCCGATTCTTTTCTTTAAACTTTCATTCATGACCCAACAAATTCTTTTTACCAATGTTGATTACTCCATTGATTTTAAATTCTGTTTTAAATTGATGGGCAGCAAAATAGTCTTGTTCCATGGTTTTCTAAAATCTGAAGTTTTGTTTTAAGGTTAAGTGGGAGATCACGTTTGTGATTTTAACAGTAGGAAATGAGATTTAAAGTTTTTTAGCTGTTTGGCTCATTAAGACAAGACTTCTAAATTTTGAATATTCTAAATAAAGATTAAAGGGAAGAGCTTATCAAAGACGTTATCAAGCTGCCATACTTCTTTGAGTAGTTCGAATTCTGCTTCTATCATGTAAGTTCACTACCACCTGTGCATGTTTGTTCAATCAAACAAAAGAAAGAAGTCTAGTTGATTTTAATAGATGATTTTAGTCTATTTGCTATTATGTGAACTTGGTGAGTTATTTGTTGAGTTATTTTATTTGTTGTATTGAGTTATGTTTTATCTGTCATAGTTAAGATTTTGTCAGTACTTTTATTTTCAGATTTGATGATGTTTTATCTAAACGTCACTATAAAAAGAACTAATATTAAAATTGAAAGATTAAGTGATATGTACTCGGGAACAAGTTCCCACAGAGTTACAGAGTTATCAGTTATCAGTTTCAGAGAGTCCGATATGTGTAGTGGGTCGCTCCCCTGAGCTGTCGGATTGGCACCTTTGAGTACATATCACAGGCCCACAGAGTAAAATTAGCCACAAAGAGTTATACAGAAAGTTTAATGAGATCTCTTTCAGAAAGTTTTATAGCAAGTTGTTTTTGCGATCTCTTTCAAAAAAGTTTTACAGAGATGTTATGAGAAAAAAATTTCGAGATCTCTCAAGCAGTTTTGAGAAATTATTTTAGAAAATATTTTGCTTTTGAGATCTCCCTCAGAATGTATTTGAGAAGTTATGTGTTAGTTATTTGTCCAGTGCATGCTTATAGCCTAAATTTATCTATTGATAAATTGGCAGACTTCTAGATATTTTTGTGGATCCATAGTGACTTACCAAGCGTAAAACTTATCAGTTTTCTTTCTTCGCATGTACAGATACTAAAGGTAAGGCCAAGACCTAGGAAGATGATGAGGGAGTGGAACGCGTGCCAAGATGAGTTAACGGGAACGACCCTGGGTGGCTTCTAGATAGTTATTACTTTATTTCCGTACACTACAAAAAAACACGCGTTTAGTCACGGACGGTAGTCACGGATTTGGTCCGTGACTAGTTTTGTCACGGACTAGTCACGGATTTTTAAAAAAAAGATTAGTCACGGACCGGGCCGTGACTATGACCGTGACTGACGTTAGTCACGGTCTGATCCGTGACTAAAATGGTCCGATAGCTCCGATTCCATTTCCGGCGTGGCTTGTTTTACTCCGACGACTTAGTCACGGACGTTTCCGTGACTAAGTCCGTGACTAAAAAAAAATTTAATGCCGTAAATCCTTTCGCAACGGTATTCTGTACGGATAAAGTTAGTCACGGATATGTCTGTGACTAATACCGTGACTACGTTGAATGACACGTCATTTACACGTCATTAACACATGTTGGACGCGTAATGGACACGGCTTTGCTTAGTGACGGACAAATCCGTGACTAAGTACGTGACTAAATTTTCTATATATGCAAGATCAACTCATTCAACAGAACCAGACCAATTCATTCCCAGTATATACAACATCTGTTTAACATATCAAAGGATGTAGTCTATCTTCTATCATTTTCCCTGTTTATTCAGATAAGGTATGTTACTCGAATTATTATTTTTATTTAGAATTAATTAGTTGGTTCAATTTAAATTATTAAAACTATTAAATTTTTGAGGTTGTTAATTAATTAACAACATATTTAACTATAAGCATAGTAATGTCATAAGATTAGTTACATTTTTAGGTATATCAAATAATATAATTAAAATTATTTAGTTAAACGTACGTTAGTAATGTGTTAATAAGTGATTTGTGAATTGTTATTGTGTTAAATGTGTATTACTTATTAATTCAAATGACTTTATATACATGCTCAAATTATTGGATTTTGTCATATTATTTAATTTAATAAGTGAATTGTAGATTGTGTATTTCTAATAAGATTAAATGTCATTAATGTAATAATTTAGTGTAGGTTTAAATGTAGGTTTAAACGTAGGTTTACAAAAATAATTTAATTAAAAATAGTTAGCTAAACGTAGGTTTAGCTAAAATTAGTTAAATTAAAAGCGAACGGAATGAACTAGTTAAATTTAGTTAAAATTAACTAAATGAATGAGTTAAATTTAGTTAAACGTAGGTTTAAATTACTTAAATTTTTTACAATATTAGTTAAATTTAAGTATTAGGTAATTACTTATATTTTGTGCATTATTGTTGTGAATTGTGTGCATTTCATTTAATTTAGTGAAAATTAGTTAGTTGATTATTTAGTAAAATAAATTATTTAAAATTAGTTAAACGTAGTATTATTGTTACATTAATTACCTTAGTTTTGAACGTGTATGATTTTTTATTATAATATTCAGGCATAATGTATAAACAAAATAGAAGTTGGATGTATGATAAAGATGCGGTATTGTACGGAATGCAATCAAATTTTCTGGATGGAGTCGGGGAATTTATTGAATTCGCACTTGAACATCCGGCTTATATGAATGGTGATAAAATAAGATGTCCATGTTCAAAGTGTAGAAATCTCAAATTTAAAGACCCACACGAAGTTGGATATGATTTGTACGCGGTCGGTTTTGTTCCCAATTATTATAATTGAACTTCTCACGGCGAACCTTTGGATCCATCTGTTATACCACAAACGGTAGGTTCGTCTCGTTACGTCCCTCCAGAGATGAGTGCGTGGGGAGACCGTGCTGAAATGAGGTGGGACCAACAAATGGTATATGACGCATATGGTGTACCGATGTCTCAGTTCAACCCCCCACAACCATCTAACGACCCCCCTGAAGCCTCGACCTCGTATCAACCAGATGCGGATGAAAATCCGTCATTTTATCAACCTTATGTGGATGAAGGTTTGGCTGAGAGATTTCAGGATGTTCTAAAAGCCGCCGACCAACCTCTGTATGCTGATAGTGAGGGATACTCTCAGTTATCCGCCATTACTGAGTTCATGAACATAAAAGCCGAATACAGTCTCCTTGAAACTTGCATGAATAGAGTTTTGCAGTCAGTAGGAGGGATGCTACCGCGAGATCATACCCTTCCCGATTCATATTACCACATGAAGCAGTTAATGTTTAAGTTGGGGCTACCTTGTGTCGAAATTGATGCGTGCCCGGAAGGATGTATGTTGTTCTGGAAGGAGGATGAGGCACTTGAGTTCTGCAAGTTCTGTGGTGGAGACAGATACAAACCTGTTCCTCAAGGTAAAAAGAAACCACGACAACGGTCGGCACTGTCTAAACTGTATTACCTCCCAATAGCTCTTCGACTGCAGAGGATGTACGCTTCGACTGCTACTGCGAAACACATGACATGACATGTTGAGCACGAAACCAATGAGGGTATGATGGCTCACCCTTCGGACTGTGAAGCCTGGAGACACTTTGACCGCTGTCATCCTCAGTTTGCTATGGAGCCACGAAATGTGCGGTTGGGATTGTGCTCAGACGGATTTGCTCCTTTTGGCAGGTTTGGCAAGAACTATTCATGTTGGCCGGTCATGTTAACTCCTTACAATCTCCCTCCCGACATGTGCATGAAAAGTAGGGGTGTGCATAACGGTTTGGTTTAACCGAACCGAACCGTACCAAACCGAACTAAACCGAACCGAAACCGGACCGTATGCAATTTGGTTTGAGTTTGGTATTATTTCTTTCAAACCGTATTAAACCGAATCGACCCGAACCGAAACCGATAAAAACCGAACAAAACCGAACCGAACTAAAAAAACTCAAAAAACATTCATATATTATTAAAATTGGTGGTTTGATTTGGTTTGGTTTAGATTTACTTAAGTAAACTGTTTGGTAAACATTTGTTCAAATCAAATGTTTTGGTACTTTGGTTTGGTTTAAAATGGAAAACCGTAAATCAAACCGAACAACACAGACACACACACACTTTGTATTTACCTTCATGACTCTTCATTTTTAAGATATAAATAAATAGTTTAGAGTTTAGACATGAAAATACATATATTTAAGCATATACTCATCATTTTAACTTTTACACATTTCAAACAATCATTGTGACAAAGTTAGCTAATACGACATATTTGTATTTATTATGTTTGGCGATAAAAGTAGCAAATTGCATTTATGTTTTTACATGATTCATTTGAATTAAATTGTGAATATTACAACATTTGTACCACCGACTCTTTTAGGTTTTATGAATATTTTATGTGATAGTATAAATGATAATCAACTATCTTATTTTTTGTAAGAAGTGAATTTTTTGTAGTGATAAAAAAGATGTTATAAGTTTCAATTTATAATATTTTATTATTTATTTTTCTATCTTTTATTTTCTTTTACATTTTATTTAAATATCAATAAATTAAAAAAAGATGAGATGGACTACTACTTTCATTTTCTAACTCGAAACATAGAACTTAATCAAATAAAATAATAAACATAAGCAAACGTATCAAATCAAACTAAATTAAACATAATATTTTGTACTTTGGTAAACCGAACTTCAAACCGAACCGAACCGGAACCGAACCGAAACTGAACCGAAACACAAATGGTTTTAGTTTGGTACAAATTCTCCCAACCCGAATAAACCGAACCGAAACCGAAGAAAACCGAACTGTAAACCGAATTGCCCACCCCTAATGAAAAGTCATTTCATCTTTTTGTCTTTAGTTTGTCCGGGTTCCAAGGATCCTAGGCGAAAGATAGACATTTATCTCCAACCCCTTATCGAGGAGATGAAAGAACTGTGGGCCGTTGGGACACCAACTTATGATGTTTCATCAGATAAAATGTTTATCATGAAAGCTGCCATCATTTGGACCATTAGCGACTTCCTTGCCTATGGCATGCTTTCGGGATGGAGCACACACGGTCTGATGGGATGTCCGATATGCATGGAGAAATCAGGTGCCAACCGGCTCAGTTACAGTAAAAAAGGAAGTTACTTTGATTGTCACCGCATGTTTCTACCGGAAAGGCACCGGTATCGAAAGGACAAGAAGTCTTTCATTAGAGGCAGAGTGGTACGAGAGAGCCCACCCCCGAGATTGACTGGTGAAGAAATTTATAACCGGGTTCGACGTATTCCTACGGCTATGGAAGAGCCAAACCAAGAGCCATATGGGTATTGTGATACCCATAAGTGGACAAAGAGGAGCATATTCTGGGAGTTGCCTTATTGGAAAGACCTTCTCATCCGTCACAATTTAGATGTCATGCACACTGAGAAGAACGTCTTTGACAATATATTTAACACGGTGATGGATTTGAAGGGCAAAACTAAAGACGGTCTTGCAGCTAGGAAAGATATGACTATTTGGTGTGATAGAACCGAACTTTCTGTTGATCTAGAATATCAGGGCAAGGAAGTTCCAAAAGCAGTCTACCAGGTCACAGAACCACAAAAGGCAGCAATATTTAAATGGCTTGCATCTCTGAAGTTTCCAGATGGCTACTGCTCCAACTTGTCTAGATGCGTGGACATGAACAAACTTACCACGACGGCGAGCATGAAAACTCACGATGCTCATGTAATCATGCAAAGACTTCTACCAATTGCACTGAAAGATATGCTCCCTGAACACGTATGGTCCTGCATTACTGAAATCAGTTTGTTGTTTCAATCGATATGTTCCAGCGTTTTGGATGCGGCATCCCTCCAGAGACTACAAGAGTTTGTTCCCATTCTGATGTGTAATCTGGAAAAAATAATGCCTCCATCGTTTTTTGATACAATGGAACATCTTATAATACATCTTCCGTATGAGGCTTTGACTGCTGGGCCCGTCTTCTATCGCTGGATGTACAGATTTGAAAGGTTAGTCACAATTTCATTTAAAAAATGAATATTTATTTCATAATAAATATGAACATGTGTACCATTGTTATTTTACATTGCAGATTTTTAAGAGAGTTGAAAAAGAAAGTGATCAACAAGGCACACGTTGAGGCTTCAATTTGTCAAGCGTATCTTCAACAAGAAATCTCAACGTTCTCGTCTTTTTATTTCGAGCGTGACATCATCACCAGAAGGAAGAGACCTGCCCGGAACGATGACATTGGCGAGGATTTATATGAAAATGTAGTTTCCATCTTCAATTACCAAGTGGCAGTGCCAAAGTGTGGCGGCAATATGTGATAAATGGTTACACATATCACACAGCCGATTACGGACAGGGCCGACCAACAAGGAACAGCGGGTTATGTGTCCCGACCATCGGTTATGATAACTCGGAAACCAATTTTTTTGGTGTCCTGCAGGAGATTATGGAACTTGAGATGCCTTGTGGTGCGAAAAAATTGGCATGCGTTCTGTTCCGCTGCACATGGGTCGATCCCACACGTGGCGTGCGCAAAAATCCGAAGTATAATATGATTGATGTCAACCACTCTCGTGAGTACCCCGAAAAATGAGCCTTTCATACTCGCCCAACAAGCAGCGCAGATTTATTATGCAGAATATCCTTCAACAAGGCGGACACAGAATCCTTGGGTGTGTGCATGTCCTGTCCGTCCGAACAAAATTAAATCACAAACTCAACGCATGGACGTTGATCTAGATGCTTTTCAGC